TGCTTTCATCCTGCATTGGCAATGAACTATCAGCTGAAAGGGAAAGTGCTTGAATAGTGATTTTTTATTGTTACCCTCACTTAGCAAGTACGAACAGTAAGCCTACAGACATGCAAACCATACAAAAGCTTTAACACACCTGCCGTCCCGTGGTACGCGGAAGAAACTCGTCCCAGGCTTCTTGTGGGTTCTGCCATTGTTGAAGCACCACGATACACAGCAGTAGCTGCCGTAGCTTGGACCGCCGGACGGCATGGCGTCAGCGCGGTCTGAAAATGTTAGTAAGTGGATGCTTCGCTGTCAAATTACAAAAAAGATATGTGCACGTCATAAGTGTACCAGCAAACCCCTTTGAATGATTAGCTAATCGATGCACAATACAAAACCAGTGATACATCTCTGACCCATAAAACTCTGACTTACAAAGATATACGTCAAGACCACGAACAAAGACCTTCAGAAGTTTCCAGGCCGCTATCCCTTGTAATGCAATGGTATCGCGGCCTGGAAACTTTAGAACACCTTCGTGCGTACGCAGTATCAGCAGTACATTGGGAAGAAAAATCGTAGGTGAAATTTGTGCGGTAAAATTATATTGGAAACGTCAAAAAATTTGTGGCAGCTTGCACTAGTGGCACAAGGCTAGCGAAGAAACGAAGATTATGGCCACTTGGCTAGTCCTGATTTGCCTCCGGCACACCAAGAATTATTCGTGTTCCGAGCCTTCGGGAAATGCGTCGTGAAGCATGCGAGGCCCAGCAAACGCTTCGCAATATTTTGCACCAAGCCTACGACCTAGCTGCCCAGCTATGCTCAGCGCACAGACGCTCGCGTCCGTGGCAGACGCCGCACGCGTCGCCTCGGCTTGACGCCGTGCCGCCTTTGCTATACTGCATACGTTGCACAATGTTCCCGTCTAACCGCCGCATAGAGCCACAAACTTTCTTTTTAGCGAACCTCCCAGTCTTTACAAGCTTCAGAAAAAGGTTACAACTGCGTGAATGAGACGCCACGTAAGAAACAAACTCGCACACACGAAGCGCAACGTGTGTGTGTGCATCTTTCTGTGTTTGTTGCATGGTGTCTTTTTCGCGCAGGCGTAAAGGTTTTCTGAAAAAATGACCCAACAAGACCAACAACATGTCATTCAACAAGCTTCGCTTGAAAACGTGCCTCACCTGTTATCTCACGCTTGAAAACGCCGACGCAGCCGACGTTGACGAAAGCGACGAAAGCTTCTCGCTGTCAGTCATGCAGGGGCTTGTCGCTGGGTAGATGGTGTTTATGACAGTACGGCTGAAGAGAAATAATCACGTAAGGTGTGTTGAATAAATCGTTTTTATGTATAAAGAACATACCAAATTTGGCCGTGCAATTATTAATTTGTGAAAACAATTTTGTTGCATTGATTATAACTGTGTTTTTTTTGCGCTTGCGCCCTCTGACGTTTGGTGGGAGCACTAGTTCGTTACGTAGTCGTGACGCACTTCCTGAGGCCAGGTTTTGCGGAGTGTCCGCTCTTGTCTTCTTCTTTCTCTATGGGTGAAGTCTTTTGTGGAGCTTTAGGAGATGGAGCGCGAGCGTCTCCAGTGGCTGAATTGTTGAGAGGAGTTTTCAGTGCAGACGCTCCTTCCGCGTTTCTTCGGCGGCGACGCCGACCCTCGACGAGTTGAAAAATGTCGGCTTGCTCCGCCGAAATGGTGGATGGGCCGTCGTCAGATGAATTTGTCGGGATATACGACCACGACAGAGTCGTAGGGTCGTAGCCACGTAGTTCAGGCAGCGCCATGTTGAGGAGTTGACCCGAGTGTGCAGGGGTAGCCCGAACAACACGGTGCGTTTTTGATACGTTACCAAGATAAAATTTCTTTATAGCAATGCGCTGTTGTTCCCCTGCAGATTAGACACACACAAAAAAGTTTCTCCGAAAACTGGGCGCTCATCATGATGGTACGCACGCTGTTCATGAACTCAAAGTACCCGCGATGAGAACGGTGATAATGCAAGGAAAGACACGCAAGATAGATGTCACTTTTCGTTGTGGGTCAGAAAGAAGCCCCAAATAGACCATTTATTTTTGAAGTGCTGTGTATATACCGCACGATAACTCGGATAGGTGTTAGTAAATTAAGGTATCCCAACTAATAGCAGTCACAGCGCAAGAACCGCTTAACCTAAAGCACGAGAAGCCGCCTTACCCATGCATCCAGTAACAAACATAGTGCATAGTACACAGAGTAAACCAAATAAAACAGGTATATAATTATGAACGTACAGAAAGTTTTATTCACCTCTAACGTCGTAAACAGCGTCGTCTTTAACTTGCGAAACGCACTTCGCTCTGACGAGGACGGCGTCGTCTGCTACATCTTGCTTCGCTGCCCTTTTACCAAATTGCTGCCACGAAAAAAAAAATTCTAAATTGCGGCATCCTATTAAATGCGGACAGAGCGCATACATCATAACCACGCGTGACGCGAAACTCTCAAAAACACGTGCAGAACGCGTGCGAGCAAAGCAACGCGTTTTCAAGCAGGTTGAATGGGACAGCGGAGAGGCCAACACTCGAGTAACCAGTTTTCTCCCCACATTGACTGACAGCGCCACGCTCCGCAGCGCCTCCCTCGGCGTTGGTCTCCTCTATACAGGGAGGGAGTGAAAGCCCCTAGCACTTCGCAAAGTGGCGACACTCTCCTCCTCCGCTCGCGTTTCTCCTCAATCTCCTCTCCTTCGCACTCGCATTTCGAATGTGGCGCCACCTGAAGAGAGCGCTTGCGCCGCAGGCAGCGCATGCCGGAGAGCATTCGCGCATGACCTCCGAGATCGCGCGCGCCGCGCGCTTCAAATCTCGGAGGCCATTATTCGCGCCACCTAATATCATAGCGTTAGCCCATATCATCTCTGTTAAGTGCCACGCGCTACGCGTACTTGTGATCAGACCTTGGTCGAGTCACTCGGCGTCGCAGTGACTAAATGTTAACTTTTTGCGCACCACCCCTTAGTATGTTCTTAAACGTGAAAATGTGATCGTTAGTGAGAACCCCCGTTTTTTTCTTGGGGCATCGTTTATCGCGTCTCCAAGTAAGTTTCACACTGTAAATAACATTGCTCAAATGTTCGTGTGCGTCTACTATGACTTACCTTTTTGTTAGCTGGCGCGATAGCATTCTCTCTGCGAATTCTCTATTCTCTCGCCCCAAAGAAAGCGCTGGAAGTTAAGCAGGAAGGCATGGGAGGAGCAAACTGAAAACTTCACACGCGCCTGGTGACCTTGAGCATTTTATTTCTTTTCTTTTTCCTTCGAATACGCGGCTTTCTCGGTGCGATCGCGCGTGGACAAGTGACGGCCTCTCACGGCAACCTCTGTAACAACCGAGTGTGCCATGTTGAAATCAGCCAATGGCTGATAGATGCGTAATGTACGTGCGATTTTTGAGCGTCTTTCATCATTTTTCGAGGGAAGAGAACGCAGTTTTTAGCTGACTCATAATTTTTTGTCAATTCCAGGTCGCTCGCTGTGCTATACCATTTGGCTCGCGTGTTCTCAGGAGCCTCTACTACCGTTCGGCAGCGTTTTCTGACTATGCTCAAAAAGTGTTGCAGGGCTTCTTTAACCCTCCTGCTGGATTCCCCTGATAGACGGATTAACTATTTGAATAATAAATATACGTGCTTCTAAGAAGTTCGATGTGGAATGCGCATAATCTTGAAGTCAGTTCATAGTTCTGCAGTTCGTGATAAAAACCTTTTACTCGCCGAAGACCATGCATCGTGTAGAGGGAAAGAGCTGATACAGTGGATATGGACACGAGGATTTTAGCAGCTATGGTCCAACACGAAAGATGCGAAGGCGAATGGACAGTGGTCCCTGGTTCAAATATGGTTTAATGTGTTGAATGAAAATAACCGGTATGAAACTGACATGTTGGTATGCTATGTATGTATGCTTTCATTATAGTGTATAAACGCACCATGAAATATTTGTATCGTACGGAACTTCCTGATTATGCAAGGAATCCGAAGGAGTAATGGATTGGTTCTTCGATCTTGGTAGGAGTTGCAAAACTTTTACACGAGAGAAGAGACACAAGCGCTTAACTTCAACTGGAGAGGGAAAGGTAAAATGCCGAGACGCAGAAATTGCGCGTGCTTACTTGGAGTGTGTAAGCGCACCATGTATCCCGGTCACGCGGAAAGAACTTTGTCTTTTGCATGGTGGGATTGATAATAATGGATGATTATTGTATGACATGTGGGCTATCGGTTGTATTTTCTGCCTTTTACTCTTCTTTAGATGCGAATAAGCTCTTTGACTAGCCTGTGTAACGCTGTCCGTACGTGTCTCCGTGCCAACGCGCCGCACCGCGTTCCCCACGCCGCGGTTGTTGGAACGATGCCAAGTAGGTCAAGTCGCAGCTGCCCGTTGACATCATTCTCTTCCTCACCCGCAGCACTAGCCGGCTCCTCCCAACACACCTAGTTGGTGCTGCTCCTCCACTCGCTCGCGACACACTTCTCGCTCGCTTCACCCTATCCACCGACTGCAACGCTCGACCGCAAGTCGAGTGGAAACACTCCTTTGCCTCGTTTACATGAAACTTACACGAAATCCGAGTCGCCGCCCGTGTCTTTGCGTTTCAACGAAACGTTTACTGGAGCAAAAGCTACACCGAGTTTCGTTTCACAGCGTTACTTCAGCATTCACGTCGACGCCAGCTTCAGGCGGGTCAACGGCGTGCGCACCGCTGCTGCTTCACATGCCATCATGGTTCCCTTCGAGGAGATGGTCCTATACATATTTTTTTTTCTATAAGATACTTTAGGCAGTAACTGAACAACATGAGGGATGGAAAGAGAATTTTATTCTATAGAATAGTGCGCTTAAGCCAACAAGAACCTCTTCTAGGCGGATGGAGAGTGGAAAAGGCAATTTTTGCTTCCTCTGTTTTCGCTATGCAAATGGGGCTCTTGTAACCAGAGGTATCATTCTCGTCGCGGCTTCACCCTCCTACTTTCTCTTCAGCCTCCTTGCGGGCAGCCTCGTTGTCGATCCGCTGCTCGAAGCCTTCCTCCTTGCCTTGGCGCGCCTTCCTCCGCGGCCCGAGGAGGCGTGGCTGTGAGCGTGGCGACGCTTCCCGTGCCGATTCGAGCTTGTGGCCGAGGATGAAGAGACAGACCGGGCGCGGCGGCGGCTCTCTCGGCGCCTCTTCTTTTTCTCGTGGGTTCTCGCGGACTGCGTCGCCAAGCTCTCGCGGCTACGGTGTTCGTGCGCGCGTCCGCCATGGCGACTGCGGGACGAGCTCCGTGATCGGCCGTGGCTCACCTTTCTGCTTGCCCTGCGGCGTTTCGGAGCCTCGCTAGCCGCATCGCTGGCGCTCCTACGAGGGGGGCTCCTCGAGCCCTTCTTGCGGCCCGTTCTCGGGGCTTTGGTCGCAGCCTTGCTGGTCGACGGGTTTTCGGTGGCGGGCTCCGCGGCACCTTCTTTTTTCCGTGATTTGCGAGCCTCCTTGGTGGTCGCAACCGGCTTCGGCGCTAGCGGCTCTGCAGCCACGGCCTTGCGTGGTCGACCGCGTGGCCGCTTGGCAGCCGGGGCCTCGCTGGTAGGGCCGGCGCCATTGTCCGCAGCATCAGCAGCCTGGCGTTTTGCTTGCCGGCCGGCCTTCGAAGGATTCTCGTCGACCTCCGCCTGCTTCTTTGGCATGGCTGCGTCGCTCCGGGTTTCGTCCCACCGTCACCCGTAAACCCCGTGCAGCCCGCTGTCGTCTTCAGCGTTGCCGCTGGCCGGTGAGGGGGGTCCCCCAGGAGACGGCTTCGGTGAACGCACGCGAGATCCCGGCCAGTGCAGCCAGCGGGGCCGGGCAGCAGCTCCCACCGACCGAGACCGCGTTCGGTTCACGTGCACCGCGTGCGCCCACTTCTTCTTCCTCGTCTCGCAGAGATATTGAGGGCAGTTTAATCCATGGCAAAATTTGCAGTATGAATTCCCTTCGAGGAGACGGCCCATAATTGTTTCCTTCTTTCACCCCTATTATGACGTTTAGCAATAAATGTTTAGTGGAAGTTCAGTGCTTGTGTCTCTTCTCTCGTGTTCTTGTTAAAAGGTATTGGTTATGCGCTTTTTACCAAGATGGATTCATAACAACTTGCCCGATTCTACTGTTTGTTGATTCTTCGCTTCTGGCATTACCGTTCTGTCTTAATTCCTGTTTGGTGGTTGTATAGGGGAGCTTAAAGAGAACGTCACTTGGTAGAGGTAGTGCACAGGAAATATCTGCAACATATACCCACTATCTGGCCGCCAGCAGACCCCCACTGCAATGGCTGGAGCGTTGTGATAAGCGTCTTCAACCGACCACCACTTTTGAACCTATTGTACGCAATGCCCTGTATAGCACATGCAACCACAGGCGTCTCAGGTGAACTTGACGCTTCTCCGAGCAGACCGGATGCGCGTGCAGCTTGTTCCAGATCACATAACAAAGCAGCACGGCTCCTATGACGCATTCTTCTGTTAAAGAAATTTCGTGTGGGCACACAACACTGCAAGAAAGAAAACGCCTAGGTGAAATTAAACGGAGAACCATAAAATAAATATGGATTGTGTTCTTTTCAGCTAAGTCTAAAAAGCGTCAATTCTCAAGCATGACCAGATGACAGAGCGGGAAAAAAAGGGGGCGCGGCGAGCCCCCCCCCCCCCTTTTTTTTTTGAACCGTCCCCTTCGCACTGTCATCCGGCCCTGTTAATAATGTTTCACAAGGCGCACAAATGATGCACTTGAACAGCTGTGGTTCTTTCGTGAAGTGCTTAGACGCACCAATCATATTTTGGAAGTGCGCCTTCTGGATTTATCTCACATACGAACGCTGAAAGATTGAGAACCCCCGTTTTTTTCTTGGCCCATCGTTTAGCGCGTCTCAAAGTAAGTTTCACACTGTAAATAACATTGCTCAAATGTTTGTGTTGACTGACAGCGCCACGCTCCGCAGCGCCTCCCCCGGCGTGGGTCTCCTCTATACATGGAGGGGGTGAAATCCCCTAGCACTTCGCCAAGTGGCGACACTCTCCTCCACCGCTCGCGTTTCTCCTCGACCTCCTCTCCTTCGCACTCGCATTTCTAATGTGGCGCCACCTGAAGAGAGCGCTTGCGCGGCAGGCAGCGCATGCCGGAGAGCATTCGCGCATGACCTCCGAGATCTCCGGCGCGCGGCCGCCGCGCGCTTCGAATCTCGGAGGCCATTATTCGCGCCACCTAATATCATAGCGTTAGCCCATATCATCTCTGTTCAGTGCCACGCGCTACGTGTACTTGTGATCAGACCTTGGTCGAGTCACTCGGCGTCGCAGTGACTAAATGTTAACATTTTGCGCACCACCGCTTAGTATGTTCTTAAACGTAAAAATGTGATCGTTAGTGAGAACCCCCGTTTTTTTCTCGGGGCATCGTTTAGCGCGTCTCCAAGTAAGTTTCACACTGTAAATAACATAGCTCAAATGTTCGTGTGCGTCTACTATCACTTACCTTTTTGTTAGTTGGCGCGATAGCATTCTCTCTGCGCATTCTCTATTCTCTCGCCCCAAAGAAAGCGCTGGAAGTTAAGCAGGGAGGCTTGGGAGGGGCAAACAAAAAACGTCACACGCGCCTGGTGACCTTGAGCATTTTATTTCTTTTCTTTTTCTTTCGAATACGCGGCTTTCTCGGTGCGATCGCGCATGGACAAGTGACGGCCTCTCGCGGCAACCTCTGTAACAACCGAGTGTGCCATGTTGAAATCAGCCAATGGCTGATAGATGCGTAATGTACGTGTGATTTTTGAGCGTCTTTCATCATTTGTCGAGGGAAGAGAACGCAGTTTTTAGCTGAATTTCATAATTTATTGTCAATTCCAGGTCGCGCGCTGTGCTATAACATTTGGCTCGCGTGTTCTCAGGAGCCTCTACTACCGTTCGGCAGCGTTTTCTGACTATGCTCAAAAAGTGTTGCAGGGCTTCTTTAACCCTCCTGCTGGATTCCCCTGATAGACGGATTTTCTATTTGAATAATAAATATACATGCTTCTAAGAAGTTCGATGTGAAATGCGCATAATCTTGAAGTCAGTTCATAGTTCTGCAGTTCGTGATAAATACCTTTTACTCGCCGAAGACCATGCATCGTGTAGAGGGAAAGAGCTGAAACAGTGGATATGGACACGAGGATTTTAGCAGCTATGGTCCAACACGAAAGATGCGAAGGCGAATGGAGAGTTGGTTCCTGGTTCAATAACGGCTTAATGTGTTGAATGAAAATAACCGGTATGAAACTGACATGTCGGTATGCTATGTATGTATGCTTTCATTATAAAGTATAAACGCACCATGAAAAATTTGTATCGTACGAAACTTCCTGATTATGCAAGAAATCCGAAGGAGTAATGGATTGGTTCTTCGATCTTGGTAGGAGGTGCACCACCTTAACACGAGAGAAGAGACACAAGCGCTTAACTTCAATTGGAGAGGGAAAGGTAAAAAGCCGAGCAGCAGAAATTACGCGTGATTACTTGGAGTGTGTAAGCGCACCATGTATCCCGGTCACGCGGAAAGAACTTTGTCTTTTGCATGGTGTGATTGATAATAATGGATGAGTAAAGTATGAGACGTGGGCTATCGGTTGTATTTTCTGCCTTTTACCTTGTTATTAGATGCGAATCGGCTCTTTGACTAGCCTGTGTAACGCTGTCCGGACGTTTCTCCGTGCCAACGCGCCGCACCGCGTTCCCCACGCCACCGTTGTTGGAACTATGCCAAGTAGGTCAAGTCGTAGTTGCCCGTTGACATCACTCTCTTTCTCACCCGCAGCAGCTGCCGGCTCCTCCCAACGCACCTTGCTGCTTCTCCACTTCTCTCTCGCTTTACCCTCTCCACCGACTGCAACGGTCGACCGCAAGTCGAGTGAAAACACTGTTTTGCTTCGTTTACATGAAACTTACACGAAATCCAAGTCGCCGCCCGTGTCTTTGCGTTTCAACGCAACGTTTACTGGAGTAAAAGCTACACCGGGTTTCGTTTCACAGCGTTACTTCAGCATTCACGTCGACGCCCGCTTCAGCCGGGTCAACGGCGTGCGCAGCGCTGCTGCTTCACATGCCATCATGGTTCCCTTCGGGGAGATGGTCTATACATAGTTTTTTTCTATAAGACACTTTAGGCAGTAACTGAACAACCTGAGGGATTGAAAGAGAATTTTATTCCATAGAATAGTGCGCTTAAGCCAACAAAAACCTCTTCTAGCCGGATGGAGAGTGGGAAAGCAATTTTTGCTTCATCTGTTTTCGCTATGCAAATGGAGCTCTTGTAGCCAGAATTATCACTCTCGTCGCGGCTTCACCCTCCTACTTTCTCTTCAGCCTCCTTGCGGGCAGCCTCGTTGTCGATCCACTGCTCGAAGCCTTCCTCCTTGCCTTGGCGCGCCTTCCTCCGCGGCCCGAGGAGGCGTGGCTGTGCGCGTGGCGACGCTTCCCGTGCCGATTCGAGCTTGTGGCCGAGGATGAAGAGACAGACCGGGCGCGGCGGCGGCTCTCTCGGCGCCTCTTCTTTTTCTCGTGGGTTCTCGCGGACTGCGTCGCCAAGCTCTCGCGGCTACGGTGTTCGTGCGCGCGTCCGCCATGGCGACTGCGGGACGAGCTCCGTGATCGGCCGTGGCTCACCTTTCTGCTTGCCCTGCGGCGTTTCGGAGCCTCGCTAGCCGCATCGCTGGCGCTCCTACGAGGGGGGCTCCTCGAGCCCTTCTTGCGGCCCGTTCTCGGGGCTTTGGTCGCAGCCTTGCTGGTCGACGGGTTTTCGGTGGCGGGCTCCGCGGCACCTTCTTTTTTCCGTGATTTGCGAGCCTCCTTGGTGGTCGCAACCGGCTTCGGCGCTAGCGGCTCTGCAGCCACGGCCTTGCGTGGTCGACCGCGTGGCCGCTTGGCAGCCGGGGCCTCGCTGGTAGGGCCGGCGCCATTATCCGCAGCATCAGCAGCCTGGCGTTTTGCTTGCCGGCCGGCCTTCGAAGGATTCTCGTCGACCTCCGCCTGCTTCTTTGGCATGGCTGCGTCGCTCCGGCTTTCGTCCCACCGTCACCCGTAGACCCCGTGCAGACCGCTGTCGTCTTCAGCGTTGCCGCTGGCCGGTGAGGGGGGCCCCCAGGATTCGGCTTCGGTGAACGCACGCGAGATCCCGGCCAGTGCAGCCAGCGGGGCCGGGCAGCAGCTCCCACCGACCGAGACCGCGTTCGGTTCACGTGCACCGCGTGCGCCCACTTCTTCTTCCTCGTCTCGCAGAGATATTGAGGGCAGTTTAATCCATGGCAAAATTTGCAGTATGAATTCCCTTCGAGGAGACGGCCCATAATTGTTTCCTTCTTTCACCCCTATTATGACGTTTAGCAATAAATGTTTAGTGGAAGTTCAGTGCTTGTGTCTCTTTTCTTGTGTTCTTGTTAAAAGGTACGGGTTACGCGCTTCCTACAAAGATGGATTCATAACAACTTGCCCGATTCTAATGTTCATTGATTCTTCGCTTTCGGCATTACCGTTCTGTCTTATTTTCCTGTTTGGTGGTTGTATAGGGGAGCTTAAAGAGAACATCACTTGGTAGAGGTAGTGCACAGGAAATATCTGCAACATATACCCACTATCTGGCCGCCAGCAGACCCCCACTGCAATGGCTGGAGCGTTGTGATAAGCGTCTTCAACCGACCACCACTTTTGAACCTATTGTACGCAATGCCCTGTATAGCACATGCAACCACAGGCGTCTCAGGTGAACTTGACGCTTCTCCGAGCAGACCGGATGCGCGCGCAGCTTGTTCCAGATCACATAACAAAGCAGCACGGCTCCTATGACGCATTCTTCTGTTAAAGAAATTTCGTGTGGGCACACAACCCTGCAAGAAAGAAAACGCCTAGGTGATATTAAACGGAGAAACCTAAAATAAATATGGATTGTTTTCTTTGCAGGTAAGTCTAAAAAGCGTCAATTGTCAAGCATGACCAGATGACTAAGCGGGAAAGAAACGGGGTGCGGCGGGCCCCTCTCCCCCCCCCCCTCTTTTTTTTTTGAACCGGCCCCTCTGCACTGTTAATCCGGCCCTGTTAATAATGTGTCACAAGGCGCACAAATGATGCACTCGACCAGCTGTGGTTCATTCGTGAAGTGCTTAGACGCACCAATCATATTTCTGAAGTGCGCCTTGTGGACTTATCTCACGTACGAACTAAATCGCTGAAAGAATGAGCTATAGCGTATGAATGAACCAGCGTGCTACCATACTTGATTACTTTGCGAGAGCTATACTCGCGGTTATAAACTTTCGCACGAAATAGTAACTAAACTGTCACGCGAAATGACACGTCTGTGTGATGTTTCTAAACGATGCATGCACCCAGTGACTCGGCATCGACGATTTGCATAGCTTCCCTCGCGTCGCTAGACTCCCGGCTGATTGGTCAAGGTAAAAGAGCCACGGAAAGCAATTTGCTCTGAACTGTGCGAGCACGCTACAAAAACTAATGGAGAGTCTTGATGTTTTGTTTATTCGAATCAGCAACGCGAAATCTTTAAAGTTTCGCAATCACAATTTCGAGCACCTTTCCGCGTACATTATAAGCGCACGAACCAGTCGGTGTATAACGACAAGAACAGGTAAGCATGTACTGTTGACAAAAAACAAAAAAACAGGCCCCGCAGAAGCGGTAATGAACCGTGAGTGAGGGTTCGCGACGTCCTGCACAATTAAGTGTGACGTGTCTACGGCGTTAGAGCAGGCATTGAATTCAGCAAACATCGCACCATACTCATAGTGAGACACACGCAAGTTACTTCGCAATATGGATTTGAAAACGTCGGCCTGGAGTTCTTATTTCCGATTCTACGTAACCATGTCTTTCGTCGCAACTCGTTGCACTTGATAGGTGGTATCATAACAGGCTTTCGGTCGTCACTAGACATGTTATGGCAGCAAAAGTCACAACAACCACTCAAGGCAACGAACAGCGACGTCATTCTTTGATGAAAAGTATTTCACAGCACAGCGCGCGCGGAAGGAAGAGTTCGTATCCGTCAAGACAGATGCGTTGTGCCCCGAGGAGTCCGCGCTTCCAGAGCAAAAATTGGGTAGTCGCGAGCGACTGTTAACAAACTAACGCAGCAAGCAGTCAGTCCCACGTGACGTCATCTGGCCAATACCGACGTGGCGCCGTCCTCGAAGGAGGTGGAAAAGACGGGAGCTGCGTGAGTAACCACATACGTCGCGAATTTGCGAAGTTTTAAGGGCTGTACCTTCGCACTTTCGCCCCCCCCCCCCCCTCCCTGAACCGGAAAGTAGGCAAATCTTTTCGCAATCTTCACAGTATTAGCTTTTGTAAACTTATGGTGAATCTCGCCGGTAGATCCGGAGCGGCCGCCGAAATCCTGGAGTGAGCACTCGGATTGCCTCAAGCCAGATCTTCGAGTGAACGCGTGGATGCCCCGCCTGAGGTCGCAGCGAAAGTTGTTTACACGCGTCACTAAACCAGTCCTGAAAACTTCCTCGACATAGCCGATTATCTTCGGTCGAGACTTCGGCCATGCACACGGCGGGAAAGCACGGGCAACTCGTCCTCGCTGCTGCCAACGTGTCTAGAAACATTTCTAGAACTAGTTCTAGAAACGTTGGCTGCTGCTACGAGTGCTCTCGCTGTCGCCCAAAGCGAGAAGCAAAGCAGCTGCACCACGTGCAGCAGCATCAAACAATGCCATTTAGAAATGTTAACCCGTGCAGAGGGCACTGCCTCGAAAAAGAAAAAAAAAACGCTCAAGGCAGCTGCAGGCAACAGCGCTGCCCGACTGTGCCGGAAATGAAGCCAAGGCATTCTGGGAGTTCCTGCGAAATCCGTCTCTGCTAGACAGAGCACGCGGAACGCTCTGCCACGGTGTGAGTTGCTCCGAATCTGCCAGTGGAACACGCGAACTTGCTCCGAATCTACCAGCGGAATGCAGATTCTCGGCCGCGGAGCAAGACAACTTGCTCCCGCTCGACGAGTGGTATTCGCCATTAAACTGCGCTTGGAACGAAACACAAGAGTAGAAGCAGACAAAGAACGAACGCAGATTATGTTGCCTCGTCCTAATACGAAATATGTCTTGCCGACTAGCCCTCAACCCCCCCAACACACGCTCCTCGAATGTGTTAGCTTTGTCTGCCTTCAAACATTCAGCGGAACTATAGAAGGCTAACAAACTCAAACTAAAATATTGAAAAAGAGCTCCATACCTGGCTACCTCAATGGGAAGCGCTTGTGCAGAACCCCCTCTGCTAACTTCATTGCCAAGAAAAGGTAATAATAAAATAAAAAATTCTGGAAAGTCGGGAAGCATTACGCAACATCTACAGTCGATCGGCCCCCGGTCCTGACAAGGTAACCAACCGCCTGTTGCTAAATTTAGACGACCAAAAGACAGTAACCACATGTGCGAAACCGGCCAGGTACCTGAACAATGGCGCACGGCCACGCTAATCCTTCTCTCAAAGCCAGGTAAACCACTCACCTTATATATATATATATATATATATATATATATATATATATATGAAAAAAAGCTGAACATGCCACTATAAATCGTGTATCGCGTTGTTATATAGAAGATCACGAACTCTTACCATTCATCATGGCCGGGTTCCGTCCACGCTTATCAACACAAGACGCCATGCTATTACTAAAGAAACAGATGTTCGACTCCAAAAGAAGAAATATCCGTGGCATCCTCGCCCTAGACCTCACTAAAGCTTTCGACAACGTCTCCCACCGCTTTATACTAGAATATATTGCCAGCCTCGGTCTCGGTAAAATATTCCAGGCATACGTTCGTTCTTTCTATATACAAGACCGTTGGTGCCACCTTTGGCATGCTACAAACGAGACTGTACCCATAACGGGGCCGACTCAGCCGTTGCAACTCGGACACAAATTCGTAATGCCCAGACTGCACAGAAGTGTACTGTTCACTCGAACACATGCTCTGGCAATGTCCCGCGTTTCCCCAGGGACCTCTCGCCAGTGAGTCCGACAGGGAAGAGGCACTCAGGAGCCCCAATCTGCGAAACCAACTAAAGGCAGTCCAGAGGGCCCAAAAACTTGCGGAACATCACCACGTTCCCGCCCCGGCTTGGGCGTCGCCTACAGTAGCGGCTGCTACGATGTCCCTCGTGGACACCCTGGTGGATTAAACTCCTCAGAACCCTTTAATAAAGTTCTTGACTGGCTGGCTGGGGTTCTACATGCCAAAACGATGATAATGATTATGAGCAGTGCCGTATTAAGGATCCGTGATCGATTATTCGAAGATTTTAATTGATTAAGTTGATTAAACGATAGGTGGACATGGACGACGGTTAATCGTTTTGCGGGACACTTTTCTTCGATTAATCAGTCATTGATATTCCTGTTGCCTTCTTGGTGGCACCTCTCGGGTGACCTCTCGCGCTTATGTACTGCGCTTTCCGGAAAGACCCCGCCCCCCCTCAAGACTCCGAGCGACTAGTGCGTGTCACGAGCCTGGAGCGCAACCGTTATTGCCAGCGGACGAATGAACAAACACATTTGGGCTGTTTGCTATCTCATAGGCGCTGTTTTAGTAAGTTTTAAGACATGTACGACCAGCGACCGCTGTGTAAGGAACGGAAAGTGACGACAGTTTAAACTCCGTCAATGACACTGATGTAGATGAAGAAATCTTGATTGGCAATTTCTTATAAGTAGTCACTTTTGCTGTGAAAGAACACGGAAGACGACTGGTATTAGGCAACTATATATTGTCCTGAACGGCGTCTACTAATATAACTTGTTTATCAGCAAAGTTTTCGAGATCAAGTTGCTTTTCTAACTTCAAGTGGGCTTTCGGTGCGATGGGCGCAGCACTGGAGGCATAAGAAGCAGCGCCGCAGAAAGTGATGGGCGCCACCAGTGACGCTGCACCTCGAAGAGAGGGGATGAGACCGATCCACTGAAATATTAGATGGCGGTCACTCGGCGCTTTCCGCTCAGAGCACTCAACTAGGGGCCGCAGC